ACACACACACACACACACACACACACACACACACACACACACACACTGAATAAATGAAAAGAAAGATCTCCTTCGCGACAAACAAAAACCTACAAACTAAATGAAAAGCTCTGTCCTGTTTGCAGGCCTAAGGATGAAGGGGGTCCACAGGAGGGGCAGGGACAGCGCTCCCTAGTGACTGAGCAGGACTCTGAGTGACATGGGTGGGTTAAAATAACTCAACAAGCAGCCCGGTGACTCTCACTTCTTAAACTCACCTCTCACTTTGCATATTCTCCAGCTCAGCATAGTGTTTGCATTCTACTGTGTGTGTGTGTGTGTTGTGGATTTGTGTGTGACTCTTAAAGAAAGCTGAAGGGTGGGGGGGATTGAGTGTAGGGGGGTGAGATGAATTTGGGGAAAATGGGGATACAGATCTGTGAAAAGCTGGGGGGAGAATCTCGGCTGGAGGCAGATTGGCTGGTGTCAGAAATGGGACAGAAAAGCCCCTCCGCGGGGTCCACCACGGGGACCGGAGCGACATGCACCGCAGCAGCACGGCCCGTCAATCAGGCCCCGAGACCCCGTTTGAGCCCAGACGCATCAAACAGCTGACAACCGAGATCAAGTTTACAAATTATTTCCAACCTGCTCTAGTATTTACTCTGACCTGTGGCAGAAATGTCTCAAAACGACTCCAACGAAGCAAAATGAGAAACGCAGGATCACCCTGTGAAGTTGATTTAAAATAAACATAACACGCACATCTGTCTGTGTATTTATGTCCACTCTGTTTCCCTGCAGTCTCTGCAGGATCCTTCTAAAGTTAGAGAGTCAATCTATGGATCAAAGGAAGCATTTGGATTCAGTATTTCACACCTGAGCTGTCAACACCTTATTATCACAAATCTCCCTTTATTTTCCCTTTTTGAGGCGATCAGCAAAACGACGAAATAAGTTTTTGAGAAAGACTTTGCTCACCTGCACAAAGCCAGGCTTTAAGATAAATGATTTCACAGCTGATTGTTGTACATTACAGCTTTATTTCACGGATGATTATGAGCTCGTTGAGGGGGGAATCCTGCTAAAACAGCCACAGTGTTATAGCTGTAAGTGCCATACAGCCTGAAGCGAGTCGAACGCCCTTTGAAACGGGCCGTTCGAAAACTAAAAAACAAAATAAAGCTGATTTATTGGCCACCTATAAATAAACTAATTCCAAATGAGGTGAATGCTCATAAAGGAGCTCCCACTTGTGACCTGTCAGCATGTTTCTTGACCATCCATAAAAGTCCAAGTGAGTCTGAGATGACCCCGTTTGGCCCCGGGCCAGGGTCTGCGCGACAGGGGAAGGGAAGTCTTACCATATTGTTGTCAGAGTAGATCATCGAGACAGCACATGAAAGGAGTACATTCCCCGTTTTACGAGCCAGCATGGCTGCAGAAGCCTTTGCTCCGGAGTGAATTCATGTACCCCATTGCAAGGATTAATAACGCAAGTCTCATTAGAGATCCTGGCTACTGAGACCCCTGGAGGGAGGGGTGCTGGGAAAAGAAAAAGCCAAGTCCTGTGTGCACAATGCCAGCGACGCGTTCCTCCGCAAATCATCATCCCGAAGAACACTTTTATTGGAAAGAATTTATCTCACGTGTTGATCAACAACGTCCCCCAGTATATTTTCCAGTGCGCAGGGATGGCTAACGTGGAATCAAAGCCGCGCTCTTTACTAGAGCACAGCTTATGTTACAGACACGCTGCTGTCTTCAAAGATACAAAGGTGACAGCTTCATGAATTCCCCTTTAAGTACTTGCATCAATTACATCGTCTTTTCCCTGATCTCATTGTGTCCGTTCGAAAACAACACAAGGTTTTCTCTTGCAGTTGGGAAGCACTTCTCCGCATAAAATAAGAGTTTTTGCATCAATTCAAGACACAAAAGAACATTATAATGAGAATTATGCAGAGAAAATAATCACAAGAACGCGACTTGTTTCTGTCAGTTAGAGAGCGAGCGGTGTGGGGTTTCTCTCTATCGACTCGATCTGCGTGCAGAACATCTGAAATCCTCCTGCAYTGGAATACAGCAGATTGCATAAAAGCGTCCAATCCTATTTTGCATCAGATCAGTCTCAATGTCATATGCTCTGTTTTCTTTTTCCGGTCTGTGAGAGGAGCAGTGGATTACTGCAGGGATGTATTTGAAGATATGAGAGCCTGATACATTTTTGATGCAACAATAATCCAGTGTGTTAAGGCAAATCTCAGAAAAATAAGACRTACCGGTCGCATTCAGRGAAATAGGATTGAAGCTGCTTTGCYRTAKTGGATTCCCTGCGGTATATGCCAACATGATTTTTGGATTACYGCATTAAAGAAAGTGTCACCCATGGGCCTTTTGGAAAAGCAGCAGGTATGGAAGCCGGTATCTGTGCTCGCCATATTGGACGAGTTTTTTTATTTTCTCCAAGCACTTCTAGCAGACCAGTGAGTGACAAGTTTTGCAGGCTTTCCAGTAGCTAAGTCTCTATTTTTTATCAAACTTGTGTTCCTCTTTCTCTGATCAGACACTACAAATCAGCAAACTGAGTGGCGATAGTCCAGTGGCTCAAGCCTCACCCTCATCCTCGTTTTAGCATCAACCTTTGTTGACCCACTTCTCCAAGCCCTTCCTTCTGCAACACCAGAGGAATTGACACAACCTGAGGGACMGAAGCCAAATAGCAGGTGCTAAAAGTTTGACAGTGTAGACTGGATATATGTGTTCCCTGGAACGTGAGGTGTAAGGGAGGGTGGTGAAGTTGTATCGACTCGGCATTAAGCCTCTAAGACGACATGCCCTCTTTAGCAAACATACTCTCCCGGCTGATGATGACGGTAGGGGTGAGCTGGTGTTGGGAGGCGGTAGACCAGTCCCCCACTTCAAGAAAASGAGCAACCAGTGACGTCCATCATGAAACAAAGACTGCCCAACTCACCTCTGTTTTTTTTAWTTTATTTTTTCATCTTTTCCCAAAGCACAACACGATCAAACAAGCTGGGCTTTTATCACATTCCTAACCTCGACTCAGAAACTGCCTTTCAAGAAGACCCTGTATTTTATTAGATTTTTTTTCTTGTCTTGCCTTTTTTTTTATTATTGGCAAACAGATTTACACCACAGGAGTATTCTGCTGCTGGTCCTGCCTCAATGTGGTTAAATCAGTGAGTCAGAAGTGAGAATGTAGAGTTTTAACACTTCTCTCTCCTGGTATGAAAGCTTTGAGATCGACACAGAGGAAAGCCCTAACTGACTTACTGTCTACCAACCRGAGGCATATGCTAGTGGGAGGGAGGCGATGTCGACACGGATTGTGGTTTAAGGTTGATCCACCCCCAGTGAAACAGAGATGTTGCGTCGCCATCTTTAGTTGTCACAAGGGAGAGGGGACTACATTCACAGAAGGCCCTCAGATGCCCCTTTGAGCCAGACAAAAACATTATTTTACACCCCTGCAATGTCTTTTTAGATAAAYCCAGAACACGTCAAACTGTCTGTTTCAACATATTTGTTTTATCAGTCTGATAAAATGCCAAGTTRTTCATAGAAAAGGCTCCTGTTTCCGCAGTGGAGAAATGCACCCAGCAGCCATTAGATATAATTAGAGAACACAGAATGGTTTTGTATTAAAACATTTGCAGCAATTTGGCAGCTGTATAATTTAGCTGTACTGGATCATGCCATGCACATACATGAAAACACACAAGCCCCGTGAACGCGTGCTCGCCCGCTGGCGTGTACGCACACGCGCTCGTACACGCACACACACGGGGACCCCAGTGCGGCGAACGCCTTCAATATTGAACCCAGACCCGGGCCTGGTCTCTGTATTTACATGTAAATGGTATACAACAATCTGTGGCCCTTTTTGTCTGCTCTGTCCCTCCAGTCRTCTGGGCCCGGGAAAGAGAGCTGGTAGTCAGATGGAGGGACCGCATCAGATGGGCTCCYATGGTTATGAAGCCAAGCGCTCCAAAGAGAGAGGGAAGAGGCTGAGTGACTGGCAGCCACTGAAACAGCAGGGACTCCCACATAGCATGGAAGG